AATCTTTGTAATCTCCTCAGATGACAATGTAGATGCCTGACAAACGTTGTTGTTGTTGTTGTGATCATAAACTGTATGGATGTGATTACACGCAATACACAGAGCTTTTCCCTCACCATTGTAACGCGCTGCTTTTGCAAGTTTCCGTGAAAATGTTTCAGCTTTTATTTTCCTTTTTCGTCCTGAAGAAGATATCACAGGTTCATCAAGTTCGTCGAAATTATCCATCCTCGATCACTTTTAGTCAGCTTTGATGAAACTCCTCTCAGCTAGCACGTCTTTTCAAAGTGAAAGTAGCCTTGTCACCTGACCTGAATACAGCGCGCTGATTCGCTAAAATTGACTTATTGGCTTCTCTTCAAAAACAGCAAGGGTGCTTGTCGGCTTCTGCAGTAAAACGTGAACTCGCGATGCCTTGAAAGTGGACAAAACCGGCTTTTTTGACAAAACGTGTTTAGGGTTCAGATCGCGCTATATGTGGAGAATAATGCACGGCAATCAGCTCTTTTTTTTTTTTTAAAGTGGCATTTATCGGTTTTTGCAAATGAACTTTTCATATTCTTTGTTGTTCTTTTCAAACAGTATTACTTTGATTGCAGAATTGGAGTGTTGCTCAATAACATTGTCTAGATGAGTGAAGATTTCAAGCACAACTGTTTGAATACTCGCAGCTTCATTCTCTTTGTCCTGGCTTACGCTGAGGCCTCGTCACTGCTGCCGATCAATGTTACAGCCTGTGGGTTGCTGAGTAATCAGCAGCTGTTGTTTACAGTAAACATGAAAAGAAAGATCACATAGTCATAGAGGGCTAATTTCTAAGGGAACTAATTGGGCGATTATAAACTGGATGTTGACAATTGAGTTTATGAAAGATTTTTAAGGTGGCAGAGATGAAAGACAAACAGGGTGTAGAATCGCCTGTAGTTAGCAAGCATTAAGTGCACATAAATTGATGAATGCCATAGATATTAATTTGCTTTTATGAACATAACCTATGCTTTCCCATGGGTCCTGTATGGGCCTCATTGTTGATTTATGGTTGTGAGAATGTGCTATATGTAAATATGTCAAGGCCACTGCAGTTCAGTTCAAAGGTCAACCTGACCCTCACACCTGGCAAGATTTGCTATCACAAACAGAGATATGGGAATGAGAAAGAAGACATCACAGGTCAAAGGTCATTTCCCTGTAAGTATGCGGCTTTAATGTTACTGTAATGTAATGTTTCATGTAGTCCTTCACATACTCTTTTTGATGATGTGAAACTTTTGACATATGTTGAAGAACAAAATATGTTTGATTTGGACCCCTCTCTCTCTTACACACACACACACACACACACACACACTATAGAATATAGATATAACACTAATGAGCTATCTGTACTGTAATTTTCAGTCTTTATCTTTTCAGCCTAGCCTGGTCTCCAAAGGCTTAAGGAACTGAGAATACTTAAGCTCTTCTCATTTGCTATGAGATAAATGAACATCGAGACCGTTGCAGACTGGGTCCAAGATCCTCAGAAGGATGAAAAACAGATGTTGAGAGAGAATCTATAATGAGAGCTAATAAACTTATGCAGACATTTTACAGCTCTTTCTATCACTTCAGATCCTTTCCACCAGATTGCTTACTCTTTACATTTTTACTTCTATCCTGAAATAACAGTACCTTGCTTATCTTACTGGTCTTAACTGGTTTAAGCTGGTCTAGTTGGTTTCCGAGTGCACAAAACCCTGTAAAACCAGGCCGATGAAAGCTTGTATTTATTTATTAACTACTCTGTATTCTTCTAAATTAAAGTTTTAGGAAAGCAATTCTGAAAGAAAGAAAAAAAGTCAAAGATTGAGATAATTAGAACTGCCTTATTAGTTTTCTGTTTATTATTACACATTTCACAATGGCTCCAGACAATGTCAGACATTCTCAAGGCTTTTAAACTGCACATAAAGCATCACACTAACAATATTTTAACCTGTTGTCTTTAAATACAAACAGTTTGGTCAACACTTGTGTGATAACTACATTATGACAAAAGATACAAAGTTATGTATAATAGGCCTACCACTTAGCAAGCTTGCACACATATGGCACATAACATAACATTTGGCACAATACCGTGGACTGTTTAGGCAATTTTCTTTGTTTCACAAAGCTTCTATTGTAATGACAGAGCCCTCATAGTTCAGTCAATGCCAATATAAAGCTGCCATGATTCAGTGCTGTGGTTTTACAAATAATAGATGAGTAACACCAGTTTTAACTGGCTTTAAATGGATCTATAAGGCGTTCTGGTACTTATATATCTGCGGTTTTTGTCAAGATTAAATATTCCATATTCTTTGCTATTTAAATAGATATATTGATGCATTCTTAAATTAGATTTACTTTACTACCACAGAAGTATTTGTATAGCAAACTTTTCTTTGGACTGCACCATACATAAAAATAACAGGTCACCATAAATAATAGCACGGACACATTCAGACAATAACATCATAATTTCTTGGTGTCTTGGTTTTTAAATAGCTCAAGGAGAAGTGCCCTGTAATCAGTTATAGTCTCTGTCACAGTGCATACTTTGAAGTTTCTTTTGCAACCAGAGATGAAGAGTTCAGTTTTCTTATTGTCTCCCCTCAGGTTTAAATCTGTCAAGCGGCAAATGCTCAGTGAGTGCATGGTCACTTTTTGGTCCCTTTGAGTTGACTTGAGTGCGAATGACGATCGTGATGTTTACGAGGGAAAGACGCACAAAACAGGAGCAGGAAGGACACAACAACAAGAACATATTGTAGCTATTAGACACCTACAAGACAGAAAGCTGGAGTCTACTACATAAGACGGACACTTCACGTTGGGACTGAGTGCTTCTAAAGGTCGTAGTTCACACAAATACTATGTTTCATTGGA